GCCCCTCCAGCCGAGCCGTGGCGTGCGGCCTGCAGATAGCTGCGTCTCTGCAGAGTGTGCCGTGGGCCGGCTACCGCCACTTCCGCCTGTGTGGCCCGTTCGCCTCCTCTGAAGCTGTAGGCCGTTCTTAAAACACCTTGGAAAGGGAGATGGAGGTTACGCATGGGGAGCACGGGTTCGGTTCTCTGCTTAACGTGTTGCTTGAAGATGAGGTGGATGTGCCCTGATCTCTGGTTTCGTGGTGGTGTGTCCCCCTTGGAAAACCATAAGTGCTGACGCCTTATGTGTACAGCCTGCCTTGCCCCTGTGAAAGCCCAGTGTCCAGACCCAAGAACACCCCAGACAATTTGCAGGGGGAGGATGGGCTGGCTGTCAGACCATACCACCTCTTCTGCAAGCTCAGGGGAGTCAAACGAGGGTTGATTTGCAAACCTGAGCTCAGACCAGGCAGTTGAACGAGATTTAGAGGTTCCCAACAGAGACCAGAGGAGAAGGACCCATGCTTTGCTCTGCCTTTCATCAGCTGATGCTCTCCATTTCTCCGTCCGTGTCATGCAAGCAGCTGGGATCCAGTTTTCACAGAGCTGGATCTCTGTGTTTGCTTTTGGGGCAGAGTGTTTGGATGTGGGCATGCTGCACCCCCTTATCCTCCATTCCCATCTGAGATTGCAGCAGGATTTCCATCTTCCATCTTTTCCCCTTTTTCTCCTCCTCCTACAATGTTTTTTTCATCCTTGAGCAGAGGGCAGATTTAACGGTCCTCCCGCCATAGGTACCCTGGATACTTGGCTGATCTCTGAACAAACCCTTAAACTGCTGTGGGAAAAGGCTCTCTCCTGCTTGGCGGGGCACTCTTCTGAGTCCTGACCTAAAATGTTTGACATGGCAAAATGAAGTTGTAGAAAACCACCAACATCCAGTCCCAGTGTGTCTGAGGGTGCCTGAGTGAGTCAGGCTGAGTGCTTCACATGGGTTGTTCCCATTCTGATTGTAAGCAGGTGTGTCAGCAGCTGCATGTTTGAGCGGAGCCAGCAGGTTTGGGGTGTGTGACCCCTGCCCTGGGGCAGACTACGACTGATGCTCTTTCCTCATTTTTCTCATTACAGAGCCTGAAGGCAAACAAAGAGGCTGAAAGTGATAAAGCTCTTGTGAACGTGACGCTGGAGGCACAAGGTATGATGGCCTACCTCCTCCCTATGTGTGATGTATTGGCAAGCCATCAGGAGAGGACATGGTACAGATCCTCTAGGATTTGCGGGGAAATGTGGAAGGGTGGCGTGGTGCTAACATGCCTGGACTGAGTTTGTGACAGGGGAGTCATGCTGCTTGGTCCCCGTCATCCTTGTTGTGGATGCTTTGAGGAGTTGCAGTTTGGCTTGTTCAGCCACATGACCACCTTTTTCCAAGGTACATCAACATCTCTCAAGCAGCCAAGACTGTCAGCACTTCATGGGGTGAGCTGAAAGGCAGAAAGATTTCTTTATAAAAAGGATCCTGGTTGATGGCCTTGATCTGCAGCTCCTTGGAGGTGATTTCCATTAACTTTGGATAATGAACCATAAGTCGTTGCCAGTTCCCTAC